TCCCTGATATACAGAATTAGCAGAATCTTGTAAGTCTGAAAGTACAAATCTCCCATCATCTCCTTCACAGTACTGTGTGGGAGAGGCTTCTGAGCCTTTTTCTCCACTCATTATGCCACTGTAGGCTATATGCAGTCTGTTATCTGAACACTCCCGTCTCCCAAGGTCTTTCCCGCCAACCATTACACACCTTCAAATTCTCCATCTGTATCTCAACCAGTGAAGTTCGCTGCTGTCTGTCCTTTACCAGGGAGTGTGAGTTAGGGAAAGTCATTCTACAAATAAGTAGAGTATGCTTGATTCGAATTCTTAATAAGGGCACATAGATAGTTATAGATCCAGCAGTACAGCTAAACAGTTTTAAATCCTGGATGGAATGTTGACTTCAGTTGTACAGCAAAACTGGGCTGCAAATTTCCAGGAAACCACTAGGTGTCAGAAAGCCTTGAGAGGCTTTCTGTATCTCATTGCTGCCCTCTAGTGGCCTTCAAGATTTGCAGCTATAATCCTCACTTAATGAGCCATCTCTTAGGGTAGTAACCATTTGAAGTTTCGATGAATTCCCCCAGAAGGGTACTTGTCAACCAGCTCACCTTATGTCTGGTTACAGCATTCCACAGCCACATGACCATGATTTATGTTGGGGATTATTTTTTTTTTTTGCCAGTTTTTGGTGTTTTCAGCCTGTTTCCATCAAAAAAGGGCCCTAGGAATGAATGGACACACTTTACGACTGCAGCATTCACTTTATGACTGTGGCATTGCTTAATAACCACCACTAAGAAGTTTGTAAAATCACAAACTTTTAGATCACACAGGTACTTCAACTTAGAATTGTCATGGCGTACAAGAGAAATTTCAAGCTCTGTTACAGTCATAAGTCAAGGACCACTTGTACAGTTGCCTACAGTATGCAATTAATCAGCATGTTGATGGGCTCTGACATTTCTGTTCTGGCCCAGTTGCTTATATCCAACTCTTGCTGCTTTCCTTATCAACCTTTGCTCTCCTTAATTGGTTATTTTCTGCTCCCTGTAAGTTGTAGTTTCTTGGAGTTTGGATCTGAAAGGACCTGCACTAGACATGGGGGGTGGGGGCCTGGATCATAAAACAGCTTGTTTTTTATGTCTTTTCAGTGAGTATTTTGCCTTATTCACTCCTGGCATATGAGATGATTTTAACCACTTGAGGGCAACCTCTTGAAACATCAAGTTTGCTGATTTGTATAAATGTTGTTATTCTTTACTCAGGGAGTACAGAGGCACTTGCATTTGCACACGAGCACTCAATGAAAAATCAATAGAAAATATTAAAGATAGAAATAAACACAATTCATATTTGCTCATGTTACAAACCTACAAATCCACAATTATGGGAAGAAAAGGATTAGGAGTAACATGATAGCCCTATTCCAATATCTCAGGGGTTATTTTCCTGAGAATAACTATTCTCCAAAGCACCTGAGGGCAGGACAAGAAGCAAAGTATGGGAACTAATCAAGGAGAGAAGCAACCTAGAACTAAGGAGAAATTTCCTGAGAGTTAAAAAATTAGTGGAACAACTTGCCTCCAGAAGTTGTGAATGCTTCAACAATGGAAGTTTTTAAGAAGAGATTGGACAAAAATTTGTCTGAAATGATATAGGGTTTCCTGCCTGAGCATGGGATTGGACTAGAAGATCTTCAAGGTCCCTTCCAACTCTTTTATTCTATTCTATTCTATTCTATTCTATTCTATTCTATTCTATTCTATTCTATTCTATTCTATTCTATTCTATTCTATTCTATTCTATTCTATTCTAAATAAAGAGTTAATTTAGAGAAAATGAGAGGATTGGCTCAAGTTTTCCCAACAGGTTTTGAGCCTATGTGAAGATTTGAACTCTGGTTTTGTCCTGCTGTTCTGATATTTCCCATTTTACCATGCTGATTCTTGAGGAAATTTTTCTAAGCCTTTGGCGTGAGCACTGTAATTTTAATGTGATATGACTTTGCAGACGCTAAAAATGCCACCTGCAGTATATATCCACTGGAATTATTTCTCAGACCCTACTGTTCAGTGCTTTACCCCTGCTTCAGCAACATAATTCTGCATTACAGTACTATTTCTGGATGATGGCTGGGAAATTCTAGGAGTTGAAGCCCACTATCTTAAAGTTGCCAAGGTTGAGAAATATTGTATTAGCGGGAAGTCAAAGGTAAGAAGTATAGGCAGAGATATTGACCTTTAGATAATGGCCACTTATAAAGCAGATGTTGGTGTGACAAAGACCTGCCTGTATTAGTGAGTTAAGCTGTGTATTGTGATGATGTGATGGGTTTCTATTTCATATAGCTGGCATATTCTATTAATTTTCAGTGGGTTAATTGTATTAATTCATTACAGTCCAAACTGAGAATGATGCAAAATGCTGATGCAGTCCAAAGGAGAAATGTCCTGATGGTGAGAACAATAAAACAATGGAATGGCTTGCCTTCAAGAGTTGTGAGTGCTAAATCACTGGAGGCTTTTAAAGAGACTGGAGAACCATTTGTCTGAAATGGTATAGGGCAGAGGTCCCCAACCTTTTGGGCACCAGGGGCCGGTTCGGTGGAGAGGTTTTCTCCATGGACCGGAGGGTGCATGGTTTGTGTGCTGCCTGCATCCTGCAAATGGGGCTTTGATTGTTTGTGTGAACCAGTTGCTGGCATGCCTCAACCCGGTACTGGTCCATGGACCAGGGGTTGGGGACCCCTGGTATAGGGTCCCTAGCTTGAGCAGGGGGTTGGACTAGAAGACTTCCAAACTCTCTTCCAACTCTTATTCAGTTAAAAAAAATAAAAAAATAGAGGATGGGAAAGAAAAGTAATCAGAAGAAAGGATGATTAAAAGTCTGTCTGGTTTGCTGCTGAAGCACTGCTTGGCTGGATGACATCCAGATCCCTTCTGTAATGCTTGTTTTGGCAGTGCTGTGGATATGCAACTAGATGATCTAGAGGGTAGACATCTTAGTCTGAGCTGTTAAAGTGCGTGTGTGTGTGTTTCTAAAACAATAAGCCCAGAAGCGTATCACTAGTGTTTTACGTAAGTACTGGAAAGAATCATAAATGTTGGCTTGGCTTGCTGTACTTTGTTCCATGTCATTTTTATGATCCTGATGTTTGAGAAGTCATCTGCAAATGTGATTCAAATTATAGGGCTGAGTTACTGTTCACTGAAGCCTTGGGACCAAAGAATGCTGTGAAAAGAGAGAAGAGACATGTTTCTATCAATATAAATGACTTAGGTTTTTAGAGCTTTTTAAAATAGTTACTTCTAAAGTTATACTAATGGACTACCTTGGCCTCATTTGAGATGGGCCACTATCTGTCCATAATATTCTATAATTAGTTCAAATTTGGTTATAGATAGTCTTTGACTTACAACCATTCATTTCATGACCATTCAAAAAATGACTTATGACCGGTTCTCACACTTATGACTGTCATAGCATGCCCATAGTCATGTAATCAAAATTCAGCTGCTTGGCATCCAGCATCTATTTATAACAGTTGCAGCTTCCTAGGATCATGTGATCACCATTTATGACCTTCCCAGGTGGCTTCCAATAAGCCAAGTCAAGAAAAGAAACTAGACTTGAAACCAGCAAAGACTTGAAATTGGATGCAGCTCACTTAATGACTGCATTGCTTAGCAATACAAATTCCAGTCCTGGCGGTAGTCGTAAGTCGAGGATTAGCTATAGAGTTATCTTTCTGCAACCAGTTGAGACTGCAATTCTGTGGCAGCATGTTACAATCACAACAAATTTTGAAGTTGCCAGATTGGAAAAAGGGAGCACATAGCACATGCCTTTGTATGCAAGATCTGGTTTAGTAATCTGAATTTAGCTTTTGCAAATGACATTGATTATCTGAGGACTCTGAGGAATATAACATACAACTTGTATCTCACATGAAGATTTGGAAAATTGCATATATCAGATGGGATGGAGATAAAGATAGGATATTAATTTTATACTAATAATATGTGGTTCGCATGTAGTTCTTGACACCTATAATGGAGTCTGCCCATTACAGTCCTAAGTTGTGACGATCCAATTTGGTGGCCTTTTATTGTGGTAGTCATTAAGCAAATACCACAGTCATTAAGCAAACATCATCATCAAGTGAACCAATTGTTCACTATTGGATGGTTTTCCTGAAAACTGGAAGTAAATGTTAAAACGTGGTCACATGTCAAAATTTTGCAAACACCTATGCAGCAAGGAAGTTTTTTTTTTCTAGTGGTGTCTTTCTAACACTTCTGTACCTGTTTTCAGTTATATTCTGATAAGTTTGCATACAAAGCTTTATGTAAATGTCACCATTTTACAATAGTTAAATGTTCTTATGTGGATGTGCTTGTTTTTCATGTATTCAATAGAATCAGTACATCAGTAACTACGTAACTATTGAGAAGCAAAAGATGATGCTACATCCTAGGTAGCACATTTGAAAACAGATTTGCAAAGGATAAGTTTGATCAGGACAAAAAAAAATCCTGATTATGATTTCATTTAATCTAATTTTTGTGTATTTCAAAAAGTGCATTTTGTAAGCTTTCCCACAGGGTAGCAGCTTACAATATATTAAATCATGAATATTTGAATAATTAAAATATACCAAATGCCTTAATGAAATAATAAACAGTACAGGATGTAGTGATCGCACTTACGCAACTTATCATACATTTAAAATGGACATATAGGTATCTGGAAAGGTCTGAGAGAAATCAAATCAAATATGGTTAGTAAGGGACTCCCTTGCTTTTAACAATGTTTCCCTTTTCTTATAATAACATCCAAATCCTTCGTCAACTTAGAAAAAGGCACTCCATTTATATAGCCTCATATCCCTCGCAAAATTCATCTCTAAGACCTTCTGTTTCTCTCTTCCCTTGCCCCATTCAAGAGAGTGCACGTGTATTTATTTGTATTTATATGTGTATGCATAACTTAAGCACCGGTTTCCCAGTTCGACCTCCATGCTTCTTTTGATAGTAGGAAGAAATGCATCCGGCGAAGTTTTACTTTCCTCCCTCCGCTTTTTCCCCGCGTGATGAATATCTGCAGCGAAGTGAAAAGAAGCGTGAGACCCTCGCCTTTCTCTCTCCAGGGGGAAAACGAGGTTAGCAACCCAGCACGGACAAGCCTAAGACACACGCCCGCGTTCACATGTTCTCAGGGCCTCGCGCGTGGGCTAAAAGTCCCGCCCACTCTGGCCACCTTTTCAGCTCTCCGTCTGATGCCCTGCAGCTGCCACTTGTCTCTTGCCGGGTCGCCCGGCTTTGATCAAGCCAGCGGGGATCGACGGGGTGGCAGCGCCGCCGCTCCTCCCCTCCCGGAGGCAGCGCCGCCTCTCGCCCCAGGTGGCTCCCGCGAACAGGAAGTCGCCCCTTGCCGCGCCTCGAACGGGCTTCGCAGTCCGCGAGCGAAGCTGCAGCCGTGGAAGGCCAGGGGCGAGTTGCAGAAGTGGCGAGCGCTCCCAGGTCGCGGGAGCTGCTCCTGCGTGTGCAAACGTCTCTTCTCGCCACGTGAGGTGGCGGAGGGAGATTCCAAGGCTCGGGGCAAACGACCTCCCTCCCTCCCTCCCCGAGAAGTTTAAAGGAAGCGTGCATTTCATTTTTCGAGTTGCATGGTTCAGACGAGCGGGGCGGGTTATCATTAATTGTTCTTGTTGCGACTGTTTGCGAAGGGGAAAGGCAGAGTTGCCTCTCCCGTGTTTTTTTCTGCCTTCGCCCCCGTTAGAGTTGTAAAGAGATCACCCTTAGACGTAGAGATGGCTTCCAGTCCAAACGATTCGGATCCGAACTCCCAGCCAGGGGACGACGATCCGAATCCAAATATCAGTCCTCAAGAAGAGCTGGACTTCTCGATTTTATTTGATTATGACTATTCGCAGCCAGTAGCAGGTTTGTGACTTTGGATTACTCCTATTATTAGTAGTATGAATTTATTACTATCAACCCCTTCAGCTTGATGGATGCTTTTTAGTAGAACTTAGGGGTGTGTTTGGAATGAATGGGGGTTTTCTGAAGGATGCATGTTCCCAAGGACCAAGGAACGGTACACAATGTAGCTGGTGTCGTTGGGTGGCCAGGATCAGATCCTGTTTCTTTAGTACTTGGGTTGGAAACTGTATCGATCAAGAGTTGGACTGGACTGGCCTTTACAGGAAAAAGTGGTTTTCTGCAATTAACCCTAAAGAGGGCAGCAGGGAAACTTTACAATGTTTGCTGAGCTTAATTAGGATCATCTGCAGTTAGGAAAGTTTACCTTTCTTCCATCAGGCTAAAGTGGGGTTGAAACTCTGCCTATATCTTTCTGTTTCTGGGATGCATAAGTAGAAGCAGATTGCTGATTTTTTTTTTAAATGAACATATCTAACGGGGAATGGCAGAAAGGGAACTGTCAAGAAAATAAAAATTATAGTAGCAATAGTACTATATCTTAGCACATCAAAGACTCCTCTTTGTCATTTCTGGGTCATGTAGAAAACAGCCTTTTCATGACTCTGTTTTATCTGACAGCACATAACTTCATTGCACTCGTAATTGTTTGTTCCTAATGCAAAGCACAGATCAAGAGGGTAGGGCCAGAAACAACTCTGAAATTAATATTGGCCAATGGCTTTGGTCAAGCTTGCTAAAATCAGTAGGCTAAGTAGCAGAAGACAAGTCTTTGAAAGCTCTGACTGAAAGCCAGAGTAATTATAATTTCATGTAGTATTTGTAAAGTGCTATAAAATGTCATACTATTTCTACTAGCCTCAGGGCTATGATTGCATTGCTCATGTTTTCAAAGCGTGTGTCTTTGGAAGTGATAAAATATACCTGCTTTTTTGATGTTCCATAAAAATATCACACCTACTTGTTCATGCATCACACACCCTTGTTACACGTTGAGAATAGCTAAACATCAGGAGTTTTGGACGTTTCCTTATTTCATAGTATACAGGTATTTAGCAAAGGTCATCTGTGAAAAATCCTGGGGGCCTTATTTAATATGTGTTGGAAATGGCAGACAGTCTGAAAAACAAAATCACACATCCTGATGTGGACAGTATGGTTTCGTAGTCATCTTCTGATTGTGGTCAGTTTTCTTTTGGCAGGGTTTTCTGTATCATGTTAACTATAACAAATTCTATAACAAATTGTTTTCAAGTCTTTACTGCTGTCCAACACTAACCGCATCTATCAAGAAATGAAGCAAGAGTTGGGATGTCTCAGTTAAAAAAACATCTCTGGGACTCAATAATCTTTGATTCCCCCCCCCCCCACTATCAGAGATGGAAAGGCAGATTCATAAAGAAGGAGCGGGGAAAGGTATAATTGCAAATGTAAAGGTGCACAGTGTATTCCTGGCTCCTTTCAGTCAGTTGAAGGGCTGCTTTGACCTAGAAAGAGAGAGCAATTGACTTGGATCCCAGGAGTTTTGAATTGCAAGCCATGATGCTGTTTGAAAAAGAACAACTGTTTGTAATTCAGATATAATCAAAAACAGACATGTGGAAACCTGCAAAGCATTCCCTTCTGCATGCTTCTCAGCCATTTACAAGTGCAAATTAAAGCCTTTCTTTTAAAATTATGACTTTTAATATTTGTGACATTAATGTGATCATATAATTTTAAAGAGTTTGCATTTTCTTATTTAGCAGCATACTGCTTGTTTTGCCCCTTTGGGATGGAATATAATCAATAACTGTAGGCAATCTTTCCATCCCACCTCAGTTTTCTTTAATCTGGTTGCAATAGAACAGCAAGTGTCAAAATTCTCAGCAATTGTGGCCAAATAGCCAAAAAAGTGCTAGGCTGGGCCTGTCATATTTTTTGAATGATTTTACTGCTGGGGACAGATTTTGTAAATGAGACTAGCTTAGATGAAAGTCTTCGTTTAGATGGGTTATATCCAGAGAAGGTTTAGATACACAACTGCAATGAATGCAGCCAAACATTCTTGTGAATGAATATATTATTATAGAATGAACAAAGCTTTATCGATTTCTTTCTGAATGTGAACAAGAGAAAATATAACCAAGAGTGATTGATTGTACTTGAGTGTAGACCTACTAAAGTTGCTTTTATGTCACACCTTTTGAACAAATGACAACTGTGAACATAGCTTAGAATGGGTAAAGTGGTATAATCTTACAGTGCCAAAACCGACTGAGAATATTTTTTCCTGTGAAATATTTCAACAGTAGTTGCTAATTTACATTTCTAGTAGTGGGTCTAGAGAAATTAATACAGTCAATAATTTTACAGCTTTAATGCACAGAGATTCAGTTAAACAATAAACCCAGCCTACTGGTTTATTACCAAACTTTGGGAAATCTAAGGTTATCTTTGATTCCTAGGTGTAATAGAGGAAAAAAGTATTTTCTTATTAAAACAACTTGCATTTTAGTGATTATTTTAAACCAAAAGCAAAAGTAGGGTTGCAAACTTAAATACCCTTAATAGAAATAAGCTTTACCGAATCAGCGAAACTTAAAATGCATGCACTGGATCATGATGGAAATCTCATTTCCCTATCTTTATGGAGGTATCCAATTCTTCATATAATATAAAGAGAACTCAATGTGATCCACAGAATCATGCTAAAATCTTATTAATCTTATTAATCTTATAGTTTAACTATAATATTTTTCAGTTAAATTAGGTTAGCAGATCTGCACTACCAACATCGTGACAGCCATAAAGCAGTAGAAAAAGGTTAGCTTGTCAGCCCCACTAGATAGGTCAGACCAGGAAATCAAATCCACAGGAAGGCTAAAACCACTTTTACTAAGATTGGCTATACGGTAATAGCTGAATCTTGCAAGTCTGATTGTGTTTTACCTGTTCCTCCTCCTTGTACTTCAGTGAACTAGGCATCAGCCTGAGCCACTTCTGAACGTTATCTCATAATTTAGGACTAAAAAATATTTCAGCGACTTTTGCTTAGGTATTCTGCATATCTCCATCAAGGTCACCTTTCTTACTCTTTGCAGGGTAGGGTTTCTTAATCTTTTTCTGGCATTGATCCTTTTGAATATGATGATCCCCTTCTCTATGAAATTTTAGAAGTTGGTGAAAATGAAGTTGTATTTTTTCCCATTCAAGTTCCTGTATTCTTTGAAACCTATCCTGGATCCTGGGTTAAAAATTGCTGGGTTAGAATTTTCTGTATCTTTCAGACAGCATACAGTGGTTACCTGGATTTTTGCTCGACATGGAAGAGCGTTATGTGGGAATCTAAATGCTGGCTTCTCCAGCATCTTAATAGTTAAAAGAAATTTTGAAGAATGCTGCATTGAAAAAAAAACCTTGGTCAGTTATGATGCTTTACTATTTCAAGCTGAGTAGCCCTCACAGAGAGTAAAAGTTTAAGTACTATCATTAGGGTGGTTAAACTTGATTCAATATTTTAATATTATTCTGTATTATAAAACCTATTGGATGGATCTGGTGTAGATACACACTCTGCTTAACTTATAAGTTTATGAGGACACAATTTGGGCTTTTTGTAGCTACCCTAAGCTTCTCGAGAAAAGGTTTATATATATGTAGCGCTACCCTTGAAAGGGCCACTAAAGTCTGGGTTCTCCTGATCCTCTTGGGCTGGCTGCCGGTCCACAGTGGTCCCTCACTTAGGCACAACTGCTTGGCTGGAACACGTGATGAGGTGGTGGTCAATCTCTCTCGGCAGACAGGTCACGTGCAGGGAAAGTGTTCAGGTGGCTGGTCAGCTCTTCTTCTTCTTCTTTTTCTTCTTCTTCTTCTTCTTCTTCTTCTTCTTCTTCTTCTTCTTCTTCTTCTTCTTCTTCTTCTTCTTCTTTTTTTTTCTCTCTCTCTCTCACTCTCTCTCTCTTTCCCCCACCGTCAGGCTTGCCCCACAGAAGTCTCTCTTATCCTATTCCCTTCCCTCAGACTTGCCCCACAGAAATTTCTTGTATCCTATCCCCTTCTCTCCCTCAGGCTTGTCCCACAGAAGCCTCCCATATCCTATTCCTATTCCAGTGGTGGCGAACCTATGGTACGTGTGCCAGAGGCAGCACTCAGAGCCCTCTCTGTGGGCATGTGCACCATGCCTCAGAGATAGCAACGTCCCTCTTCAACCAGCCGCCCACTAACTCGCCGAGGTCCCATGTGGCCGGATACATCCTGGCACGGCTGGTTTCTCTCTCCCTGTCCCATCCCTCCTGGCCTTGCATGCTTTCCTTTTCCTGGGCATGACCCACGGAATCCCCTTCTCAGCTGTCGGCCATTCGTCCAGCTCAGAGGCGGCTTCTCTGAACTGCTGGCGGTGGGCTGCGGAGCCCCAGAGTGCACTAGTTGAGGGGCTGGCAGGCTGTGGCTGCTGATGGACACCATCAGCCCCCATGCACTCACTGGTCTCTGTGTGCAGGGGCCAATGGTGTGAGGCAGCAGCTGCCCCGGCCCCTGCCTCGCCTTGCCCTGCGGCAATGGCACACTTGCCCTGCCTCGCCTCGCCTCACCCCGCAGGACGAGCCCACCTTGGCCACACCCTCTCAGTCTGCCATGACCACCACAGCCACACCCACCCAGTGGGCCATGCCCACTGGCACCCGGTGATAAATAAGTGGATTTTGGGTTGCAGTTTGGGCACTCGGTCACTGCCCTATTCCCTTCTCCCTCAGGTTTACCTCCTAAAAGCCTCTCCCATTCTCCCCTATTGTCTCCTCTCCCAGGTTTATCTTCCCCAACCTAAGCCTCAGCAGATTCAATTCCTCCCTGCCCTCTCCTGACTCCTCCCCCAGGCATCTCCCGGTACTGTCTCTTCAGCTCACCCTACCCCCACTACATATATGTAAACCTTTATATGTGTGTGTGTGTGTGTGTGTGTGTATTTGTGTGTATGTATATATGTATGTATGTATGTATGTATGTATGTATATTTATATGTATAT